GTAATTAACAATTTGCATCACAGACATCTCAAAAATACCAAGTTCAACAAATTTTCTTGAAATATGCATGGTGCAGACATAGATAAAAGAGCCAAAAAGTACCCAAGTGAGAATCTTATGAAACCATACAGCTGTGGTCATTGTTTCCACCAAGCTAGAGCAAACCTTGACCTGCTCCATTAAAAGCATATTAACAGAGTAGGGTATGACTTTCTGAATTAAAACAGAAAACATTTATATAACGCCTTTCATGCAGGGTATTAGGTAAAAATGAGGCAACAAGGAGGGATTGAAGTAGAGTGTACCATAGGTTCAGGGCGTAGTGACTGAAGGGGGTGGGGGGGGGTCGAGGACACGGAGAAGGTTTGCGGATAGAGGAGTGTGGTGTGAACAGGTTGGCGATGTATGGGCATAAAATAATGGCAAGTCAAAACCATTAATAAGTAGCAAGTACAAAACAGGATTCAAATAAAGTGGTAGTAACAATTGACTATTTTCCTTCTCATTAAATCAGCACTAGGTTGGATTTTCTTTTACACTTTTCTGCCCAATTTAAACTGTAGTACTGCACATGATATATTTTTAAACTACACTGGAGTTTAAGTTAAAATATATAGCATAAGCAAGATAGAATGCCAACACAATGAAATAAAAATATTTCAAACAATGCAAAATTTATCATAAATTAACAACCATCTGGACAATAGGTTCAGCGAGCAAATGAGGTGTAAAAAGAATTCTAATTAAGATCTCATCTAACTGTGGCAAACATTTGGGAGTAGGATAGCTGAATGGGGTTTGTCAAAGAGCTCAAAACTTCTGTTCATTGGTAAACTTCAGGCAATCACAAATCTTATACTAAAACAGACTTGAGACATTTTGCTCCTAGATCCAATAGTCTAATCGCTAAATAAGTGTGATAAGCATTACCTACTCCATGACAAAATCCAAATTCTCCAATATCAAAGTTGTTACCAGACTGGCAATCTGCTACAATAACACAGACGGGTCAACACCAGAAGAGTCACTGATGCTTAATCCAGGGCGACACGCTTGCGCCAAGAACACAGCAGCTGCACCTTAACATTCTGCATTCCAAACAAATTATGCACAGAATACCAGCAGCAAGATTCAGACCTCGCTTCTTCCTGTTGACGTCAACTTAGCAGCATAAAAATGTGGAACATAGGATTTCAAGATTAACTTTCCTTCCACGGGTGTTTTGTTACTCGTGCTCCAAGTCGCTACCCAGCCTGAAGGGTGCTATATAAATGTAAGCTTTTGTTGCACTTCATGGAACAGGCTACCTGGTTCAAGTCTGTACTAGTGTTTTTTCTCCATGTGAGCCAACTAATGGAACGCTCCTGCCTGCTCCACTTACACTTCATCATGATTTTCCTTTTCAAGCATCGAATTCCCTTTTAAAATAATTTATTGGCTTGTGTCAACAGTTTGTGACAGAAGATTCTGCAGCATAGCACAACACACAATGAGTTACTCATTGAAGTGTACTATAGTTCTGCAACAGTTAAACTATTATTATAACTGCACCAACATCCATGTGTGCAATGCAGCAGCTACAACCTGAAATGAATGCCCAAAGTTAATCTCTTGTTTTGGTGAATTTAGGTGAATAAAAGGGAGAAACTATTGAGCTTAATAGGGTGGAAAAATGAATGAACAACCATCACTTGCTAACCTGGTGCCTGCTTTTCAGTAATCAAATAATTTGATGCCACATTTATACAGGTGATGCCTCCAGAGGCACTCCTACATGCAAAGATAGTTTTTCCTTCTGGAGACTTTCTAGAGTAGCAGGTTAAATAATAATCCTTACATTCGGTATAGCATCTTTCACACAGACATTTTTTGTAATTATCTGAGGCGGCAGTTTCTTTATTTTCTCACGGCTGGTTTCTCTGCATGAATGTAATGTAACTAGCTTACAACTTTATACAGCATTATATATACCAGCATGGTCCAACAAGCAGTCCGTAGGCTGCAACTGCCCCAGCAATGGTTTTATCTGGCCCACAAACCGTTTCCAACTTCACTGCTTTACTTCCCAGGTGCGCATCTTTGCTGGTCTGTCTCCACTAGGCAGCGCGGAGTGACAAGAGGGGTGGAGCGGGAGGTATCTTCCCATTATGCCCCTCCCAGTGCAACCTGGTGAGACGCAGCAGGCAGCAGCAGGAGTATTTTACAATTCTAAAACTACAGAACTACGAGTCTTAGTAGGAAACACAAGATAGATGTGGAAAATAGAGGACTTCAGTATAGGTGGGAAGTGGATAACTTGTTCACTGAAAGTAATAGTAAGTCATATCTGTGTTGAAGGAGTTCAGTTAATTTTGCAATTATGGATTAATCTGTTTGGATTTTGTTGAGCATTCTCTGTAGGGGCCTCCATATGCTGAGTTTATATCTTGTGCTTTGACTTCAGTACATTAAAAAATGTTATCCATATATTTCCATTTGAGATGATCATCATTAAGTAATACAATCACATATTTTAGAAAATAGGATTTCTGTATGATTCTTTTATGTTTCTGGAAGTGAAAAGCAAAAGTATTGCTTATGTGGTTCACGAACATTTCTCAAATGTGGCATCCAGCCCTCGACACCCAAAAGGTTGAACCACCCTGACCCTGACATGCACAAACTGACAATAACAATGTACAGAAAACTATTTTACAACTGAATACAACATCACAAATGAGTTAAAGGCTCACCGGGAGTGTTGCATTTTCCAAACCCCATCTACCCAATAATTATTGATTGTAATAAAATACAGTTGAATTCACGCAAGTCATATCAGTCCGGACCATCATATTTAATATGACATAGGCGAAGTCCGAGTTGCAGGCAAACTGTATAAGCTGTAGAAAATCAGATTTAATCAATAACCTACACGGTGCATGCGTAATTTAATGCAGGCAGTAGGTGTGCATGCAATACAGTGAAGGGTCAGGACTAAATTTCTCACGATTCAATGCGGCTTGACCCTTCGCCACATGCGTATTTACCGGAAAGCATTGGAATCATATTGAATCACGAGAAAATAAATTCTACTAAGCATCTGTAAATGGATCAAAACTACATTTCTGTGATTCAATGCAGCCGGTGAATGTATATGCATCAACGGGTCAGTCGGCGTTTCCCACAAGTCAAGGCAGCTGATAAGTGCGGGAGTAATGGAGGATAGGAGGTGATTAATACGAGTAGGGTAAATCTAAGTGATTTTGATAGGAAACTGAATGGGACTTGAGTGAATGTACGACTTAGGCAATTATATCATTTATAAAGATACAACTTGTGAGTTTTACTGTATTTAATTAAAATCCCAAATATATATTTTTAAAATACCCAAGGGGTGCAGTTTCACATTCTTTTGACATTTCACCCTAATTTTTCTGCTTCATTTGAGCGAAAATATCCATCGGGAGATCTACTTGCAGTAATACAGTGTATAGCATATACATAGTGTATATACGCAGTGAGACAGAAAACATTGGTTTACTGAGGAAACTTGTTCCGCATATAAGGCAACTTCAATTATAAGATAATCTGCAATTTTGTTATATTTGAAGGAAATTAAAATTACTCTTACAACAGTGAACACGTTTTTAAATGTTGAAACACTGGCAATTTTGAGTATTCTCTACAGCTGTCATGACATCATTATGTACCAGCCCTTCTCATTTTCTGATTTTCTCTCTGCTCAGACTCTCTCACTGGCTAAGTCTTTTAATTTTTTTTTCTTAAGCACTCAGGGATGTTAGCCTGAGTGAGGTGTTCAAAATCCTTGCCCTCGCCTTCAAGGCCCTCCATGGCCTTGACCCCTTCTACCTCTCCGACCTGCTGATCCCTTTTCAACCTGTCGCCTCCCTCCACTCAGACTTCCCACGCCCGGCACACCCCACCATCAGCGGGCGGGCCCTCAGCCTCTCTGCCCCCACCCTCTGGAACTCCATCCCACATTCCCTTTGCCTCGCTCCTTCCCTTGCCTCCTTCAGGGCACGCCTCAAGACCCTCCTCTTCGACCATGCCTTTGGGTACCCTCCTACACTCTCTACCCTTCAACCTCCCTGATTCCAAGCCCTACCACCCGCTCGGGTCCTAATCCCTGTCTGTTCAGCGCCTTAGGACGTCCTCTTGACATGAAAGGTGTTTTACAAATGTAATTTTATATTCTATTGTATATAAATGCATGATGTTGTAACTTCCTTTCTCTATATGACTGTCTCTCTCACACTAACTGTTCAGTGTTAATAAAAAATATGCATGATGCTGGTAAATCAATCTCTTGCAATCAAAGTCAATCTCTTGTACGCTCAATTTTCCAATCATCTAGATTTTGTTTTGCAGGTTTCCAGCAGGTCTGTAGCATTCTACTGATTTTTGTTTGTCAGCAAATATAAGGCAAGCAGCAATTTTGAAATTTGAATTAAGCAAGAAATATTAAAAAATCAAAAACATCACAGATATAATTGTGTTATCAGGATGAAGTTGGGTATTTTCAATACACACCCAATACCAGGTCAATCAATGAACAATTTCAGTTTAGTTCCAGGCTGTGAATAAATTCATGTAATTATCCATGAAGTAAATGTGATAGGATACCATACCTGCATTATTTATTCTTAAATAATAACACCACTCCTTCAAACACAAAGTTGGAATTTTGCAAGGTTCAAAGACTGCCAGGAAACCATCACTAACAATGTAATACTTAAGATTACTTCTTGGTAAACCTCCCCACAGTTTTAATCAGTATAACAATGTAACACAACTGTAATAATTTCTAACCTTCACATACTTCATATCCAAAATGCTGAATTTTATAGATGTAAAATTAAGTTAAAATTACATAAACTATTAATCTTTAGTGTGAGGACAAACCACACCAGATCTAAATCTGTGAATTACCATCCTTCACTGTCAATAAAATATGATGAAAGCCATTGTTTTCTCCAGCAAGGAAACCTATAAACCAATACCTGAATCAGAGGGTACTTTGGCTCAACTGGTGCTCCTCCGAAGCCGTTTACCCCAATAAAGCTGCTACTGAAGTATGAATTTGTGAGGTTGTTGTCTGGTAACGTTCCATCCATTCCTGGAACTGGAAAATGTGAAATTTAATTTACTAGAAAACAAATCTTCCAAAGTATTTTCAACTGTACAAAAAAAATGAAAACAATGTCAATAAACACTAAAAGAGGAATAGTATTTATTAGTTATAGCCATATTATTAACAAATTTTGTCATAATGAAATTAATTGTTGCCAAGTTAATTATGTCACAGTAGTTTGGTCTATGTTGCTGAACTCATGTAACTTCTCAGATTTTAACTACTACAATGGCGTAATAAAAAAAGACCCAAGCAACTGAACGCTAAATATTTTACCAGAGCCCAAACAACAAAGCTTATTGGTTCTCCATAAAATAGACTGCTACTCGAAATACCAGATGATATCAAAGTTGGTATAAAAGTCAACAAATCCACTATGTTTCCCATTTCATTGAAGTTTCGGTATTCTCAAGTGAGTTTTTACAAGTTCTTAAGACTATCCAAAACCGCATTTCCCGTTAAGTGACAAAGTCTGCAAAATCATCATGTACTTCATTATGTACATATATGACCAATAATTCACATTACATGTAGTTGTTAGTGCAACTTCTTATTCAATTATGCATTATCTTTCATTGAAATTAGATTAATATCAAACTTCATCACTACAGCTACACTGAGAGGTCAATTACATTCCTGGGATATTACATTTATGAATGTACAACACGACTGAATAGTGGTTCATCTACGCTTTTGCAAAGGCAAATGTAACTTTTAAAATAAAAGTTTAGTCAGATTCGACATTATCACTTTAACTGTTTGTAGTGACAAATGTATAACCAGAGTCATGGCCTAAATAAACACAGCATTCTGAAATATTAAAAAATATGAGGGGACCAGGAAAAGCTCATTAGGCCCAAAAGCCTGAAAGATCAATTCCCAGCTATCTGTCTTCTCACCATATCTCCTCAAACCCATGCAATTCCCATCTCTCCTATCAAGTACACGAAGCCCTCCCACATTGTTAACTATTAAAATGTTGGTGTCCGTCCAAAACACTTGCGGATTTTAAATGAAACTTCTACGAAATAAGTCGATCCAAAATGTTCGCACTATCCGAAAGAGCTGCACACAAAAAAAAAAGCTGACGGGACAGGCCTTGCAGCTGCTGCATCCCAAAGCCTCTCTCAACAGGTCGTTATTTGTAGCTTTTGACTTTTACAACAGATCCCACCCCAAAAAAAAACCCCCCACGTTATCCTCCTCCCTTTCTATATCCAGGTCCCTACAGACACAGCGCGCGCTCTCCCAGTCTCTTCGTCCACCAGGAATAGACCTACAAGAAAACCAACAGCAACGAGAGAGGGCGGGGAACTGAACCGAGCTCTTGGTCGACTCTCTCTCCACCCCACTCTTCCGGTTGCACTGACGAGCAAACGGGCGCCGTCTCCTTCCAGCAGCGAAAAATAAACCCCACCAGCAAACAGGAGGAGGAGGAGGAGGCGGTGGGGATGAACAGAGAAGTGGAAAGGGAATCGCAGAGTGGGGGGCAGTGAGTGACACCGACACGGCGCGACAAGACGGGCATTCCCGGAGCAGGGAAGCCAGACAGACAACTCACTGGTGAGGAGCTGCCCGGGATCCACCAGGCTTCCCAGCTCGTTCTTCTTGTGGCCGCCGTGGGGATACCCTCCTCCTCCTCCTCCTCCTCCAGAAATCCCCCCACCGCCGCCTCCAACACCAACCGCGGCGGGCGCTCCTCCTCCTCCTCCCCCTCCCCCTCCTCCAGGCGCTGCCGCCGCTCCGGCTCCGACTCCCGCTCCCGGGTGGTGGTGGTGGTGGTGGTGGTTGTTGTTGACGACAAGCCCGAGGTTGGCCGCGGCGGCGCCATTGTTGGGCTCCTCGTGCAGGAACTGACACTCGTCGCCGTAGAAACAGGTCTTGTCCTTGGCGTAGTAACGGCAGAACTTCACCTTGGGGCAGGCGGCGGCGGCGGCGGCGGAGGAGGAGGAGAGAGAGAGGGAGGCGGCCGCCACCGACGACGACGCCACCGCCGTCGATAGCCCCAGCCCCCCCGGCCCGGGTCCTAGGCCCAGGCCCGGGCCACCAACAACGCCGCCGCCGCCCGGGCCGGCGCCGCTGTTCATGGCCCACACACGCACGGACCGAGACACTGTGTTGATGGGTCAGGGCCCGAGCCGCAGGTCCGGCCGCGCTGCTGCTGCTGCTGCTGCGGTCGTTGCCGCCGCCGCTGCTGCTGCTGCTGCGGCCGCCGCCGCCGCCGCTCCTGTTCCCGCGATAGAAACCCAAGTGCCGCGGCCGAGCAGCACCACAACATCGGAAGGAAAAGGCGAGTTGGGGAGACGGGAGTGAGCGGGTGCGGAGAGGAGGGAAACCCGACCCTCCTCTCCTCTCCACACGGCGAGGCGCCTTGTCCGTCCGCTGCGTGTGTTTCTGTCGAGTGAAGGCCGGCAGGGAGCGGCCCGGGGCCTGTCTCGGCGGCGGCTGCTGCTACTGCTGCTGTGGGGAGTTTTTTCCCCTTCCCCCCCCCTCACTCACTCACTCACTCCTCTGTCTCGCGGCCTCGGCCTCCGAGCGCCCCGCTGCTAACCTCCTCACTGCGCCTGCGCGCCCCGGAGCATTCTGGGCAGCCGAGGAACCAAAACAAGTTGGGAGTGCGACGGGGGGTCGGGGAGGGGGGGAGTGGGGGAGGCAGTGGCACTGGGTTGGGCGGGTTTCACGCCCAATCGGGCGGTTGTTCTTGTACGACGACAACAACTCACGCGGGGCGGCCTCCCGGGGCTTTGGGCGGTGCCTGGTTTTCACACTTTTAAATGAGTGATAACAATAATCTTTGCATTGCTTGTCGTATCGCTTTCCGCACATCTTCGAGCCATCCCGGAGCGCGTCGCGGAATGCACCGCGGAGTGCATTGACCGCCTGTGTCGTGGGCGAAAGGTTTTAATTATTGATTTAAATCGACAAGACGTCGATTTTTCCCCCGACCTCCCCCCATTTGGAGGCCTTTTCTCACACCGTTTCAAAAGCAGGAGCCAAAATCGGCCGCTCTGCTACCCCGGACATTAATTTTGCCTCCAAAATACAGAGTCAATCCACTTTACATTATATTTTGTGAAGTTCTTTGAAACCTTTCAACGACGTGATAAAGCGCTAGATCGAATGCAAGAATCATTGCACACAATATTGGGCCATGTTGGGTCTAGTATTTGGTTGACTGGGCTTCAAACATATTTTAATTTTGGTTAATCTTGCTGTCCAGGCAGGGAGCAGGGAAAGGTGTTGTGCGGGGAGGGGAGTATTGGGATTAGTTAGTCTCGAGCCTTGTAAAGAACAAAGATTTCTTTTGCAAAATGAAACTACTTACAGGGACTATGTATTTACACATAAAGGTGTAGATTTCAAGGTTGAATTTAATTAGACTTTAAACTGAGGTCCTGGCTGCTTGTTCTAGTGGACCTAAAGGATCCCAGGGCAGCATTTGAAAAGAGGAGGGAGTCTCTCTCCTGATGTCCTGGACAACAATCTCTTTTCTCCTACACCTAGCCTAATTTCTATGAAAGCAAATTTAAGAATATTTTCAGCAAATTTAAGAATATTTTCAGCAAATTTAAGAATATTTTCTATAATAGAATGGTTTAGTATTAAAGTAGAAGTTCAAGTGGAGAAATAAAAGATACCCAAAACATTGTATTAGTTCACTAACATTTTTAATTGCATAGCAAATATTTTCCTGTCATGCCACACAGATGTTTTACATTCACTTAACACGATTTTTCCGCTTACCATAATATTCTGCAAGGAAATCTGGCTTCAGATTCTTGCACTTCATTTTTATTGCTTAGTTTCTGTTGCATAAATAGAGTATTTGGAAGATTAGTTAGTAAAGCGAAGACAGGTTTCATGGGACATGTTTCCAAGGTGAGATGTTGAACTTTCACGCCTGGAAAGAACTTGTGCGTCATCAGACAATAATCATCTGGTATTTACAGAATAATGAAGGAAACCTATTGTGTTGGGTTACCACAGGAATTTTATGAAGAACATTAAGCATACCACATATTTGTTTTATGGTTTTATTTTTTGGATGTGATGCACTTAGATTAGAAAGCCAACTTTAAAATATTTCACATTATTTGAAATATTTTGCATGGTGGTGACTTGTAATTATTTGATTTTAAGAATACTGTTCTGCACATTATAACTTTTAATACTGTCATATATCTAGACAAAAAAAGCTAATAAGGATCATGTATAATAAAAATAATTGATGTCTCAGTTCATGGCTTGTATGCGACATTGCTGGCTGCTGCACTAGCCTACAAATAGTCACTACACTTCACAGTAAACTTTTGTGGAGGCCTTTGAGATGACAATGTATCAAATGCAAGGATTATTATGATTTAAACTATGATGCCAATGGATATCTCGAGTTATACAAATTCAAAATATGTTGTCACAAGATATACTGCTTTCAACATTTTCAAGATGGAGGTAGATAGGTATTTGTTAGGTCAGGGCATTAAGGGATATGGGGCAAGGGCAGGTAACTGGACTTGAGGTACAGATCAGCTATGATCTTATAAAATGGTGGAATAGGCTTGAGGGGCTGAACAGTCTAATCTTGTTTCTATTACGATACATTTGACTCAAATCAGCATGAGGTAAGTGCTTGTTATCTTTCACAGCCAGAGTACAGAATTAAATCCACATCTGTGAGATAATAGGCACATACGATACTGAAAACAGAACAATTTTCCTGCAACTCAGTGGCAGTTTAAACCTACACAACTTTAACTGACTGTTGCCATCAAACAATAGTATTTGTAACCATGGGAAAACCCATTAAAATTGGTCACACACTCCATGGCTATTTGTGGGACATTGCTTTGCACAAATTGGTTGCCTCGTTCACCCACAACCTACGTCAGTCACAGATCACTCTACAGCATATCCTATGAAGACCTTTGACAAGTCTCAGCAACATGAGAAGGTGCTAAACCAAATGCAACGATTATGAACCCTCATTTGAACTCATCTGAAACATTACATATCATCAGCAGTAAAATACTCTTTACTGATACTACACAGCTGACCAACAATAGGAGTTTCAAATTAAAGCAGCTCTGTAGTCAGTGATTCAAGAATTCTCTTTGTTTATGCTGCAGGGCATATCACATAGTAGTGGCAGTGTTAACAAGCATACATACAGAAACTATTGCTTGCACAGTTCACAAGATCACAGACGTTCAGATGAAGAAAGCTCTTTGGTCCATTTGATCTCATCCTTGCCTAATAACAACCCTACCATCTTTCATTTCAGCTTAAGGCTGTTTCTTAAATCAGTCCATTTTCTTGGTGTTAACAACTCTTAATGGTAACCCATTTCATCTGTTGATTGTCCTTCAAATAAATGTTCTTGATATCTATCTTAACATCAATTTTCACAAATCTAAACCTGTGACCTAATCTGCTGCCTTGTCATATCTGAAAGTACAATAGCCTGTCTCTCGTCTGGCTATACAGCCTGGTTGTTGTAGTGCAGAGGTCAGATTTGTGAATAGCTCAATCTCTTTGTAAGGTGTAAGTTGCTTCTTCTGATTTCACAACTTGGTATCATCTGTGAATGTATTTGTGTCAGCATAGCAAAAGTGTGTCTGGGACCCAGGTGATGTGGTAATGGTCACAGAAGAGTGGGAGGGGAAAGGTGAGCTGTTATGGTCTGAAATTGTTGAAATCAATGTTGAGGCCAGAGGGCAGTAAGGTCCCTACAACAACAACAACAACAAGATTCCATATATAAAGCGCCTTTCACGTCAGGAGGACGTCCCAAGGCGCTGCACAGTTGGGTCATGACCCGAGCAGGGGGGAAATGGTCAGGGTGAGGGGAGGGAAGGGAGGGAGCGAGGAGGGGGAAGAGAGTCGAGAGGGGAGCTGAAGGCTCGGTCAAAGAGAAAGGTTTTGAGACCGGCCTTGAAGGAGGAGAGGGAGGAAGCAAGGCGAAAGCAGATAGATGAGGTGCTGTTCCTTGAGTTTGCGCTGTGGTTCATTGGAACTGCATGGATGGAGAGGTCAGAGTGCGAATGGGAGGGAGAGTTGAAGTGGTAAGAAACTGGAAGCTCAGGGTTCTGCTTGCGGACAGAACGGAGATGTTCGACAAATCAGTCGCCCAATCTGCGCTTGGTCTCCCCAATGTAGAGGAGACCACATCGTGAGCAACAAATGCAATATACTACATTGCTGGTAGTTTACCAATAATTTCAGACCATAATAGCTCACCTTCCCTCTCCCACTCTTCTGTGACCATTACCACATTATCTGGGTCCAGACATGCCTTTTCTCTTTCTGGTCTGCCATACATGCTGCCTGAGCTGCTGAGTGCTTCCAGCGACTTCTGTTTTTTTTTGAATTTATATAACACCTTTTATGCGGGTAGTGTCTCGTAAAAAAAATCTCGATTAAAAAAAAACCACAAACCTATATTGAGACGGTGAGCTCATTGTCTGGGCCAGTGGTGTCCGCCTTTTCCCATGGACAGAAGTGGCACACAAGGCAGTCAAGAAGCGGCCCCCAGAACATCCGTATTAGT